CGGGAACCAAGAACTACCTGCGGGCCATGTTGGCAAGCTGGGCATCTAAGGATTCCTTGGACACAATACAGAAGAGCCCTGATGTTCCCGGCAGGGACTGCAGGTCATTCTAGCATGGATAGCCAGCAAGGGATGTTGCTGATGATGCACACTGTGACCTGCTGCCCATTCAATGTGTATGACCCAAAACCAGAAGGAAACACCTCCCAAAAGCCTCTGGTGCCTAGATTTCCATGCCTATGTGGCGGCTTTGCAATGGAACACATTTTGTGACTTTGACCACCTGAAACTGCCAAATCACTAGGCCCTGCTGCTTCTGCGAGCGCAGTCAGCCCTGGGCGAATCACGTGCCAGCGGTGCCGCTACCCACCAGGATGAACTTGGCAGGGTGGCGGATACTGATGCCCTGGCCATCCGACGGTGAGTTGCTCTATGCAGTCGATTTTTTCGAGCTCCCAAACCGCGAGCCGAGCCACAGCGGAAGTCCGGAACATCCAACCCCAAGGCGGCTTCCTGTGGAACAGCACCTAGATGGTACCAAACAGCCCGCTGGGATCTCTGGCTGGATGAACACTTGGTCAGTCTAAACAGGCGAAACCACAAGAAAGCCAAAGATCAAAGCCTCAAAATGTTGTAAAGCAAGGATCTCGACTGGACCAAAACCACTATTCAAAATGGGCTATCATCGCATCACGTGGAAATCTTGGGGCGATAATCTGCAAATATCTGCAGCTTCAATTGATTTTTGCTTTCGAGCTACGGGCCGCGGCCTCTCGCTCCACAGTGTTCCAGCCGCCGGCGGCAGAATCCAGGAGCACGTCCACCAGGTGGTCGTCCAACAGATTGACCTGAGCCATGCCGACCACACATGCCCTGGAAAATACAAAAACTGCTGGCTAAAAGCGAGAACCTCAAGGGCATAGGGAGCGCAATTCTGCAACTGCTTTGCTCACCGGAAAAATGCTTTCCCATCGGACGCGCCTCGTCCACGTAGAGGATGCCGCGGTTGGCCTTCGCCAGCAAGCCCGGCTCAAAGGCCTGAGCAGGCCGGTCGAAACGTAAAGCCATGAAGCAGGGAAAACTATGAATGGCGCCAAGGACAGCTGCAAAGTCTATTGGAGAGAGGCTTTGCTTGACGTCTCCCATGAGGCAGCTGTGAGAGGCTGTAAAACCCACATGCCAAGCGTGGCCGTTCCTTGCCAGGCGAAAGCTGCATGAAGCTCTGCTGCCAGAGCCAGCCATTGTCTCGACGCATCACTGCACGGTCATTGGTCAGCTGATTCCACGTTTGATGGATTCCGCCAACGACCTTTGCGACGCTTACATTTGCAATCTGATTTTGGCAATGGCTCGCCCATCCATTGGGATGTTCAAATGGGGGATTGTCTTTGCGGGAAACCATCACTGATTCACAGGCAGTGGATCAACATCAGCCAATGCGGATGCATATCAAAACTGACGACCCCCTTGAACTAGTCGGCTTGGGTTCAGCACTGTTGGAGGTTCCAGGCTGCGTACCAGGAGGGGCGAAAAACGATCTCCGTGCCCTTCGCTCTTCGGCAGTCAGCTGTTAGCGTTGGTGTCTCACTTACGTACTTGTTATTGCTTTAGAAACACATCAATATCGGCATGGTGCCTCACTTCCCGGCCCAAATCGGGGAAGAAAAAACACAACATGTTGGGGAATGAACTCACTGCCGCGGCGCCTTCTTGCCCTGAGTCAGGGCCTTCTCAATGTCGATGGTGCCGCCTATCCCGCCCCGGTGGCCACCAACCCGGTCGCCATGACACAACAACGTGCGCAGTGCGCGGAAACCAAGAAGAAATCGGCACGGAGCTAAAACGCTTGCACTCAAACGCAAACGAGTTGATCATGTTTGGGCTGCCTTGCACTTTGTCCGTGAGCAACTCCTTCATGATGTGTATACATCTCATTTATAGACGCGTATGTAATACATGTATATGTGGATGTATGCATACATTGTGTTCAAAGCAATGCCAACAACAGTAGCGTGTTCATGTGGAAAACTATTCTCGATCCAAGCAAGGCAACACCGCACGTGATTCTTGTTGCATGTAAACACATCGCCACAACCTGTAATGCTCAAAGTAGACCGGGCAATGGCATCTTTACCCATCAACATCTACACCTTCAAGCCTACCTTCCCAGCCTCATGGAAGAGGACATGCGTCTCTGAAATGCTCCATCAACTTTCAGAAGGGCGAGCAGCGCAATTTCTCGCTTCGGTTGGGTTGATTGCCACAACACGCCGTTGACAATGGTCATATAATCCTGAACTAGTGAATTAGAAGCCTAGCAGCCTTCCCAGCCTTGAAAATGAGTCATAGCACGTTTGCGACAGCTGTTTTCCACCACGGGGTCAAGTGGCAGGCTACTGAGAGATGCATCGCTACCTTAAGGTGGTACACCTTCATGTCGCTTGTCAGCACAGAACCCACTGACCAGCCTGCAAAACAGAATATCAATCCATAACAAATGCTCACAAGGAATCACTGTGGGATCCTGCTCATCTCGCAAACTCCAACTCACGGGGCAACTTTTTGAAGAGAACCTCGACTACCACAGAGGTAGAATGATCGCCCCATCCCAGCTGGTGTGGCTGATTCGCCTTTGCCTAGCAGTCTTGTGCCGCACTTTGGGCGCCCGGCACACGCGATCCTCTGTCGCTCCCAGGGGAAGGTCAATCCTTGGAGTTCACAAGGTCGCTTTGCCCGAAATGCATCTTGCTCGCGCCTTTGTGCCAGGTAACGCACGCCAAGCTGAGCCCCAGCTAATCGCCTTCTCGCCTAATTACCAAGTCGGGCCACTCAAGAGCTCTTTGGAATGAGTTTGCTGTTGCACTTGAGCTTGCAAACTACTCACACTCTGCGCAATGACCCTGTATCACTGTGTGGAAAGTCTGCAGCATGCTTTCAATCATGGTCAAGTTCGGCTCTCAACACCACTCGTGGTCCGCCCGGAAAAGGCAATGAAAGACTGAACGGCCAGGATGGGGCTGGGCAAAGCGTCCTGTAGCGCATTCAGGACACATCCCATACACTGTGTGAAGCCACGAAGGAAAGAAGCTTGGCATTCTTCTTGCGCCCAGACGCTGCACACTTCCTTCGTGAATTGGCCAAAAAAAGTCCAGACCGTTTGGTGCGCCACTGAAATGCCCCTTCCCCGAAAAGCTTATATCCAGGAACTCAGGGGCTGAGGGAAACTCCGGGAAAGACCATCCCGGGCTAAGAGACGACTCCTCTGGGTTCTGCGCCCCGGTTTTGGACCACTGGATTTTGGCTCGGGCCGAAACCGCTTTGGGGCACCGGGCATCGGCACCTTCTTGTAGTTGAGGGGCAGCTCCTTCCCGGCGGCCTACAAGTACCAGGCACGGTGCAAGCGGCAGCAACGAGCCATGCCAGTGGCTTTGGATCTGCCGACCCACTAAATCAGATCCAAAGTAAGACAATAGGGGCCCTAATAGGGGGGACGTGGGGTGTCACACATGTTTGATGAGTTGTGTGTGGTTCTGGCTTCCACCTGAACCCAGCCTCACCCTAGTTGGATCCATGGCCAAGCGCCGCCCACTTCCACCTATTGGCTTTGCTCTGGCACCCACCTTCGGCCCAGCTTCTTGACAAAGGCATAAAAGGGACAGTCGAAACCTTGGGTGCGTGTTCAGTGGATCCACCATAAGTCAGCTCTCGTGGGCCCAGGATAAATCAACTGGTTGACTAGTGGGTCTTCCCTTTCGAGGCTTACTGGGGGACGGTGAAGAACCCAGGACCAAACGAACCTCGTACGCCACGCACAACCCCCTTCCCCCTCCGCCTTGCGGTCTCGGACCTCCTGCGACATGACCTCCTCCTGCAGTATGCTTGGGGAAACGGCGTAGGCTCGGGGTCATCATTTGTGACGCGCAGAAGGAGTCCGGCCAGCTCAAAGGGCCAAGTCTGCTCCAACCGGATGCTTGCCCTTAGAAATGAGAAAAAATCCGCCCGGAGAGAAGAAGCACGGGCACGTGTGTCCCGAGTGAACTGGATAACACGAAACCCGCCAACTTGGAGTTCCCAGTTTTGAGAAGCGGTGCACTTTGCGTCGCGCCCCCATGGAACGCAAGGCGGTCTGTCCAAAAGACACCCGCCTGTCCAAAACAGCCCTTGCTACATGATTGGAATCGAGCGAAATCCACACTCCATCCAGGTTCAACCAACCTGACCCAAGCAAACACTGATGTCTACCAGTTCAAATGCAATGCAAGCCTCAAGGTGACACGTTTCGGGGGAAGCCACCAGCACTTTAAAAAACTCATCTGCAGAGGCATCTCTTTTCGGCGGGCCCCAAATGTCAAGTAATCAACCCAGCCCTCCAGTGGCCACGGGCAATAAACTGTCCGTCCTTGATCTTGCAAAACGGGAAAGAAGGAAGCTCCAGGAAGGGCACCCGGAAGCACGGAACCCAAAACGGAAAAAGCAAGGAAACCCAGACGGAGATCTGCCGATTTCGATTTCGCCTCTTCCGGGGAGGAGTTGTAGGGGTCATCGGCCACGCATGCGATCTCCGGCAGCAGGTCCACCAAGGCTGCGCAAGCGGAGACGTGCGGCTGAAAGTCAGACGTGCTTTATGGGACCGGGAGATGTGTCAAAATCACTCTGCCCCGGTGTCCCTGCAAAGCCTTGGTTCGGTAATGTTGAGGATACTGGACAAAGGGGAAACCCTCCGAGAGGGGTGGCCAGCCACTCAAAAGGGGGTCCTTGATAGGACATCCCACAACTCGGCTAAAAATCTTCGAGGCTGCCGGATTGATTTGAACCATTTTAGTCTATTTTAGTGGGGACTGGGGGTACGGGCTTTTGACCCATGGCCAAATACCAGGAGCCTCATCAAAAACCGATGAAAATGTCATTCATACCTACAAAAAAACGCGATGCTTTTTGGGAAAACACGATGTTTCCGGAAACACCAGGTTTTCGATTTCAACATTTCCCATACATTAAATCAACTCATCATCCGTTCACAAAAGCATCATCTCAACCTCAGAATCTCTCATTGCCCTCTCGCCTTCTTCGCTCATCACGAAATCAGCTTCGCACTCGCCACTCGTCATTCGCAACTCCAATCTGAGAAGGAGGCTGGGCAAAAGTACCACGCAGTTTGACGACACTCGTCAAGCAGCAATGCCAGGATGAGGGCGTGCTGGCTTCAAACAACGCGCAAGCTCAAGCAAAGACTGTTTTTGCCCACGGCGTCGTTGTTTTCCATCAACATTCTCGAATTAGCGCATCCGGGATTGAACCCTCATGTGAGCACGTGGTTTGGGTCTCACCGGCACACGTGGCCACTCCAGCCGATTCTGGTCTCACAGGAGCATGTGGTCGCTCAAAGTACTGCGCCTGCCGCAAAAACCAGCCCCAAAACTACGCTCTCACTGCAGATTGCTTCACAAGCATGCGCGTGCTAATTTGGCGCGCGGGCGCAGCGTTTGGAGCGTCGGAGCACGCAGCGGCTCGGGTCTCACAGAAGCACGTGAGCGCTCCAAACCACTCAAAATAATGCGCCCGCCGCGAAATCCAACTCCAAAACCCACGCGGGACCTGGCTTCGACCGCAGTCTTGCAAGTCGCTTCGCAAGCATGCGTGCGCTAATTTAGTGCGCGGGCGCAGCTTCTGAAGCGTCGGAGCACGCGGCGGCTCAGGTCTCACAGGAGCACGTGAGCGCTCCAAATCACTCAAAAGAGCGCGCCTGCCACGAAATCCAGCTCCGCAACCCACGCGGGACATGGCTTCAACTGCACTCTTGCAGGTCGCTTCACAAGCGTCGGAGCACGCAGCGGCTCGGGTCTCACATGACCACCTGAGCGCCCCAAGTCACTCAAAATAGCACGCTTGCCACCAAATCCAGCTCTAGGAAGGGCCTGGCTTCCTTGCGGGGAGGAGGGGGGGGTAGGGGGGGCTGGTAAGCACGCCCGCTGTAGCCGCTCACTTCCAAGCACGCGTAACACTACGCGCGTAGAGCGTCCCCGTGACCGCTTCCTTTCCAAAGCACGCAGAAGAGCCAGCGACATGGAGAAGAAACACGAGGCCCAGAGCAAGACGCAACCGCCCCACGCATCCCTGGATGGGATCAAGCACGGATGAAAGTGCGTTTTTGCTTACATGCGCGTACGTGTTTGCCTTTGTGGGGGCGCGAGTATCACACGCGCGGGCAAGACCCACGAGAACTTGCCCAAAGTACAGCGCCTACCACGAAACCCAGCCCTCTACATGCGCGGGCGAGACCAAGTTTACGTGCGCCTGCGAGCCGAAAACCACGTGCGCTGGCGAGGCCGTGACCCGAAAAACTCATAGAATTTCCACGGTTTGCCACGCTTTACTACGGGCTTTCCACGGTTTCGGGTTAGAAAACACGATGTTTTTAAAAAACATCGTGGGGCGGATTCCTTCTACGGTTTTCTACGGGTTTTCCACGGGCATTCCCCAAAAAAACTCGGAAATCATAAAACCATCTCAAAAAAGTGTCACCTGGCCTTGTTTTTGCACCAGGAAGAGCTTCAGGATTCCAGCAGCCCCTTCAAACTGGTTTCGGTATGACTTGGTGTCTTCAAGCGCCTGTTGCGGTGAAGGAAATTAAGCCTGAAGGCAGCTGCGCACCCTGGCTGTCAGGCTCATCAATGCGGGCCTTAGAATTTGAAGCATATTCAGTATAGAGCCCTGCCCCTCATTCCACTCCCAACCCTTACTTACCTTTGACCCTTTGCTCCAAATGAGCTTTGTTTTTTTCTGAAAACACAATGCAGAAAATCTAGAAAAACACAATGTTTTAGTCAGGGTGCGACATTTTTACAGGTTCTTGCCGCCCTAGGTAGCCAAAGGAAAGCCAGCCATTTTCAGATGAGCCCATGCGCAACCTTCTGCCCCTTCTGGCCCCGACAAGTCAGATCCAATAGAACGCAAGCTGCTTCGACCCAAGGAAAACAAGCAGGAGGCGGATCATCTTGAGGGGTCGCATAATTTTGAGACCCCTCCATATCTCGAAACACACCTGTGAGTGAAGAATGAAATTCCCTCAAGTTCAAGAAGTCTCCATGAGCGGAGTCTTGACAGGAAAGGTCATTCTAGGCAAGGTCATTTTACCCCCAGCGAATTCATCGCAAGCACATTGCTACCAATGGCTTCTTTTGGTAGTTGGAAAAAACACGTCTTGCGCCCCTCTTCGCATTTGTTCTTACGCCCGGGCTTCACAACCCCAACATTAAAGCTCAGCAACTGCCGCCGGCTGATGTTGGGTTCCTGTATGTGGTACGGTCAGGCGGGAATGCTCTAACGTGCGTTCTTGCAGTCTTGTCTCAAACAGGCCTGCCTTGGACCCAGAATGTTGGACCCAGCTGATTTGGGCCGAGTATCAGCTGAAAATGTGATTTCCCCAAGTCATCAACGCCAATATTGGGGATACTGGTGGGTCTGACTTTCTGGGTCCGAGTTTGGTCCCTTGGCTCTGTG